CAATAAATTTCCTTATTCATTGGCTTGATTTATTAAACATAATACATAATCAAACATTAAGAGGACATTGCATGTGTTGTCTCTTTCTTACACACGTAATAAATTTCTGTTCGATAATTTCAATAGTGAGTTGTTAAGTGATCTATCATTAAACTTTTAATAAATATTATCTGTATTTCTTCATAGATTTCGYACGATACTTAACTTTTAAGTGAATAATGGGGATTACCTACAACTATAACATAAAGTATTTCCTTTAGATTACTTCTTACCACGTAAATTAGCTTCAAAAAATGGATTATACATTTGTGTCGATTCACCTCCATTTTGCATATGAACAAGAAGTGCCATCAAGAAAATTGAAATTGCCTAAAAGTAATAAAATAAATATTAATTTACTGGAAAAACATAAATAAGTGTATAAACTTACAATTGTATATGCTGCTACAAATTTACAACCAGTTTTCACATCTGGGTACACAATAATAGGTGTCCAAAATGTTTTTAATAGAGTCATTGTTTTTTTTTCCACAATCACAATATAATCTATAAAAATGTTGATTAGTTTTAGTAAAATTACTTAAAGCAGCAATTACTAGGCAAGATAGTAAATTGTAATTTCAATAATATGAAAAAATTTTGTAATACTAAAATACTACTACATCTACTTGATCAATTATAATTATAATATAACTTAAGTAACAATTTCATAAATTAACTTGTGGTATATTACAAAGTAATAGCAGACCTATAATAATTATAAAATATATTATGTAAATAATTGAAAGCTCATTAATACGTAATTTATAAATATGGATTAAAGTTTAAGGTTTTAACTTTAGTAAAAGTAGGCAATGTTTGGAAGTGGAAGAAGCTACTTAWCATTCATTAATGTAAACAATATAAATAATTTAGTGATCGAAATAATACAATTAAAATAGTAATGGATAAGTAAGTACAATATAACAAATTTGGTAAATTGAAAGCCACATAACCAAATGAAAGCAAGTTTGAAATATATAAATGTATGACAKAAGATRCAAAAGTATGAGCACCGACRACCRACAGGTATAGAAAATTGAAAATATCATAGGTAATCAGTRTGAATAAGATTYTTAGAATTTCAAAGAATTAAAATGACATAGTCATTAAAACCTCGYATTAAAATGTATGGGTTCAGAAAGCAAAAAAAAATATATACCACCCTTAATTTATTGTTAATAATTAATTCCGAACAATGAACTTTTGGGCGTGTTGCAGTAACTGGTGATGGATTTTCTACGAATTCTAATGAAAAACTATGCTTACGAGTTTTGAAGTTCGGCAAACGCTYCTTCGTTCGTGTTAAAATTCGATTGTTAATGGATTTGGGTTAACGATTAGCGACAACCAGTTGCCACCAAAAAGGCGTCTTGAATCTTAAGAGTTGAGAAGAACGGAATTTATCAATCTATCGTCGGAGCGACGTTATCACTTGTTTTATTACTAAATAATAGTTACAATGATGAGCGTCTCCAGAACAAACTTACGCAACCAATCAGAAGCATTCATATTATTGTTATCAGTATTTATGAAAATCACATTTCTTATCACCTTAAAAAAATTATAATGTGATATAACCGTCAATCATACAGGTGTTATACTTAATAAATTTTAATATTTATTATAACAATTATAAATGTAACGTTTAAAAATTTTAAATATGAAATAATTTGGGAAAGTATATAAGGAACCTATAAATAAGTATTAAGAAAAACAAAAACGATTTATGAATAAATGTTTAACGGAACCATTTACAAAGGAAATAAAGAGTTCTAAGAAAATAACTATAGAAGACAATAATTATCAAATATTTTCACGGGATGCACTTATTAACCGCTGTWCAGACGAAATATCGAATACGAATTGWAAKATTTTATACCTACAAGTTACAACTAACAATAGTCCTACTAGATATTATTTAGATTTTATTATCATTATAATTATTATAATATAATACTCATTATAATTATTTGTATTTAAACGTGTTTTTTTTTTTATTACACTCATTAGTTACCGACAAAATTATAAAATATGGTATTATTAGGTTATATACTTAGATATTTGTAGTAATGATATGTTGATAAAGTTTTATACTAGAATTCTTAGTAGTTTTCTATAGCACCGRTAACATCATCAGAAAAACAAATTAAGAAAAAACGGGAATTTTTGTGCAAAATCGGTTTTTAATAAAATTGATTTTGGATATTGGAGTAACTCTAAAACAAATTACCGTAGATACATTAGATATTCAATCGGTTTATACATGTACCGATATTCTTATT